GTTAATACTTACTGTAGTAGGTATATTTTAGTGATTTTCCAAGCGTAGTTTAAATGTGGCACAAGGCTGAAAGTAGGGGGCACCCAGTGAGGATCAAACTCACTACTGTTGTAATTGTTCTAGCGAGACAAGCTTGCTGACCATTACACCGCCTCAAGGTGCCCTAGTAGGCATATTTTATATACAGTTGCTAAATGTTTTTTAATCTTTAAATATAAAAATGAATTTTTTTATAGATTTATTTGGTGTAATCCAATTCATATACTAAAAAAATTGGGGTATTTGAAATAATTGTCAGCTGACCAAACTTTTTAAAATTAAACAATATACAAATATCACATTTAGTTTTTAGAAAAAGTACAGAAATTCAACATGAAACTAATAGATCATTTCAAAATAAAAAAATTATTTTCCTCTTTCCTGCTTTTGATTTTTGGAAAACATTAAAATTATTATAACTTCCACAATTCATTCCTTATTTAGCACCCAGAGAGCTTAAAATCTTATTTTAAATTAATACTTCTAATTGCTTTGGTATGTTTGGGTAAATATTTAGTCACCAGGATAATGTGGGAATTAACACTGTGGAGAATAAACATTTATGAATTCATGGAAAATTTATCCCACTAATAATATTGGTGGGCTTAATGCGAGTCCAAAGAAAAAATGAGTAACACAAAACAATAAATCTAAAAAAAACATCAATGCATGTTTGTTAACAAAAGAATTACATGTGATGAAAGGAAAAAAACAGGAATCTAGCTATAAGAAGGTGCTTGTCTGTGTGTGTGAGTGAGTACGAAAATCAATAGAGAAAACTATGAAAATGAATGTGCCAAAGTTGAAAAACTGTAAAAGAGAGTAGGGAGATAAATGCACACCTTTATATAGGCTAAAGGAGCATCCCCTAGAGATGGTTATTTAGCAAAGTCAAGTGGGACAGCCATAACTTCATAGCACAAACATTGATTAAATCAATGATCATGAAACAATGTGAAAGACAAAATTACATTTCATGAAGCGTACTAACAAAGGAAGACATATTTTATCTATCTGGTGTTGGGAGATTAATTTGCAGATATTCAGCTGATGGAGAAAAAAAAAAAAAAAAAAAAACTTCAATTTGCTTAGGTCACCATTTGATTTGTAGATTGAACCTATTGACCTTCAAGCTGAAGAATTTACAGCTGACTGATTTCTAGTCATCTCTCCATGAAGAATTTCGCTAGAAAGCTTTGTTCTTTACTAACATACATTTGTAAACATCAACGAATCAAAAAAGCAGGCCTCTCTTGACAAGACAGAAGTCTGAATATAATCGGAACTGAATTATTAGTAAGCTAATTCCAGACTATACTCAATTCCTGAATGACAGCCTGCACTTCCACAAGTTCCATTGAAAAATGATCACAAATTAAAATTGTCACGTTACTAAGCGAATATTGGAATTTTGGTTACGATTACACGTCAATGTTTAAGAGTATTTCTTACATGATCTCTTTTTCTGCACAACACTTGACTATTGGGTGTAGCGGGTCGAGTTTGTCCATAGCTAATCATTAATATCTCAAAGTTACAAAATCAAATTATCTTAATTTAATCTTGATGCAAAATTTATATTTATTTAATAATTCATGTTTTTCACTAGTCAATTTCATCTATGCTGTCTGTATCTAGATATTTATTTTTAAATTTTTTTTTTTAAATAAACAAATATAGCAGTACCGCTTAGATTAAATGCCTAAGAGAATAAGCAAGAGTAATTGTGATAAATAGCATTTTTGTGTCTGCATCTATTAAGAAAGCTATTTCGGTAACTTAAATACCAAAATTTGATCTCAAATCACTACTAGGCTCCAATGGATCAAACCTGAACTAGTCAAAAATAAATAAATTTTACTTAATTGCTTCTGATAATTTCTAGATCACAACAGATCTTGTCCCCTCCACCAACAGATGACATCTTGCTGACCATTCTAAAATGTAGCCCAACTACAAAAGTTTGACTGGACACTAAGTTTTCAATGATTTCCTCACTTGTTGACTGCTTTCAAGTATTCACATCTAAACTTTAGTGTTGGCAGTCACAAAATATCAGGGCTTCAGGCCCAGATAAAATTATTTACAGCCCAACCCCGACTTTATGGCCATGCTAAACCTTTTTAAGCATTCACTAGAAAAATTGATATAGGAATTTTTGTAAATGACTTATGATCAGACTATTTCATTTTAATGATTAGTCAAATTACAATACAATAACAAAGTAGAAGTCAAAAGCAATTTAATCTCCTTAATTAAAGTTTCAAATTAATCTTACCCATTGCAATAAATTGACATTTGTTTAACCACATATTAACTCCTTATGGGTCATTTAATGCCAAAATTTATTCTCCTTTCACAATTGAATACATGATAGAGGATACTCAGCTTTTGTCCATATACAAGTTTGCGTGGATTTTAAAGGCAGTGATATGGGTTTTATGTTGTAGTTTGGTTTCTTTAAGAAATTTTCAGATATTATATGGATTAATGTCTTGAAAGAGTTTTCATGTTGGTAGTATTTTAAACAGATTTTGTTAGTAGGTTTTATTGTTCTTGGCATGCCCTACAGGTTAGAAGGTGGTTCTCCTTTTTGAAATACAAGAATCTATTATCATGGAGTGTCAAATATGAAGTCTGGACATTATTACTAAAAACAAGACAAATTGAAATGTTTAATGCCTTTCTTCTATCAAAGGTTTGATGTTGTAGGTTGTTGTTTTGGCAGCCGGTCCAGTTTCTTCCTTTCTTTGATAAATGCATTAATGGCAAAATCTGTGTAGGGATCTTTGTGTTTGAACCTTTTCCAGAGGTTGATGCCTTTTGTTTTTTTTTGGGGGGGGGGGGATGTCTGCAGAATCGACTATTGTTGCCTACATGGCTAGGTATCCAGCAGAAAAGGACATCATGCTGGCAAATATTTGATTTTATAAAAGTTTTATAATTAGCGCATTGTTGTAAAAATTTCTGCCGTAATAGAGTAATGGCAGAAGTTTCTGTTACCTACAGTTAATGGATTCATTTGTTTATTTTTAAGCCATAAAATTGAAACAAAGTAAATTAAAATGATTTTGGTATTCTAAAATTCACACAACCTATAACTTCTAAAAGGAACCAGTATCCTTGCAGAATACAGGTGACTTTACAATAAATAAAAAAAAAAAAAAAAACGTCCTATATTATAAAATATGCTAATGGCATCTCTTGAAAATTTGTGTGCATAAATCTCACTGTAAATTATGCTTTTGCAGCATCTTTACAATTCCAATGTAATTGGAAGAAGAAAAAAAAAGCAAAATAAACTACCAATTTTAAAATAAGCTAATTCTCATTACTTACTTACATAGCATATCTTGCACATAACCATGTGATACTAACAAGCTTGATTAAGATGGCAAGTTTTCTGATCGGGCCAAATCCTGCTATTCATCTGCAGCAGGTTTGAGGTGACAAATCCTCAACAGTAAAGCAAAAGAACAAAAGTTTTCATTTCTATATGAGGAAGAAAAAAAAAAACCATAAAAACAACAAAAAACAAAAATTAAGTTTGAATGTTTTATGTTTCTCCCCAATTTACAGTCAACTACAAAGTTTATATACAAAGCCATGAAGAAAATATAATTTCACACATTCACAAAAGTCAATCAACAAAGAAATTCAATTAAAAGAGGAAATTTCCATTGATCAAACTAAGAACAAAAATTAAGATGGGCAAGTGTAATGATAGATAAAAGACTATTTCTCCCACATAATTATTTCCCCTGTCCAGTTAAGGCCATTCAGGTATGGACACGAGAAACCCTCAACATTTGAACTGTTCCCCTTCACCACTATCTCACTTCATCTCAAAAGATGAAATAATAATTAAAAAAAAAAAAAAAAAAAAAAAAAAAAAACACCAGATTTAATGAAGTGAAAATGAAGCCAAAACTGGTAGAGAAATTAAATGATTTGTTTCCGTTTTCCAACATTGAGATATATATATATATATATATATATATATATATAATATCTCAATGATATTCAAAACCAATTAACCAACATGTACATTACTCTAGTTTCAAGCTCCATGCATCCCCGCCCATACTTTTTTTTTTTTTAAACGTTTTTATACTAGAGACAAAGAATTCATGGCTTCTTCATTAAACACTTTGCATAATTTTTGATTCTGGGATGTCTTATTTGAAGAAATGTGCCAAATTAATATGATTATCAGAGAATCCTTCTGCACATATTTTGGCCAAAGATTTCTTCACAATTAATCATCTTTACTGATTGTTTTTAAGCAGAACAAAGCCCAGAAGATTCAATAAAGGTAAATTCAAGTTACTTTCATTTATCAGTGACATTCTGTGTTTAAAAAGAGAAAAGTCAACATTTTTTTTTTGACAGATTTAAAATTAAAAAAATCTGCCAAAGAAAACTTTCAAGGAAATATCAATTTTGATAAGCAAGAAAATAAGTACAGCATGGAAATAGTTTTTATGTAAGTGTTTCAGTTAATGAAAGGCTCAGCACTTTAAAAAAAAAAAAAAAAATCACCCTATTTAAACATTATCCAGATAACAAACAATCTGGAGCTGAATGGTCCAAAATACAACTGCAATTTGTACTGAGCAAAATCACATCTTTATCCCCAGTCATTAATTTTAGATATTTCAATACTTTGAAAAGGAAAATTAAGACTTTCTAAAATATTGGAAAAGAAACCTTTTCTCCTTGAATTGACAATTACTCACAGAAGATAATCTCAGATTACGAGGTTGGCTAATTCAGGAAAAGAAGAAGAAGAAGAAAAAAAAAAAAAAAAATCAAAAAAAAATCTAACTCCTATTGAAATCTAAAGTTTACAAAACACTTGATGCATGTGCAATAAATTTGTAAGTAAAACCCCGACCATCAGGAGTTTTTTTTTTTCTTTTTCGCTACAAGAGAGAGAGAGAGAGAGCCTTAAAACATTTCTAATCTTCATCATTGGTTCTTTCAGATTTCTTAGGAGATGGAGTCTGGCTCTTCTCTTTGCTTGATCTCTCCACAGAAGGACTTTTCTTGTGATTCGACTTGAGACTTTCAGTCAACTTTGATGGCTCTCTTTCTTGACTTCCCTTTCGATCATTTGCCTTCATTTTCTCAGAAGAACTACTTCGCTGTTTACTTCTTGATTTGCGACTTCGTTCGGGACTTCTGCTTGAAGATTTGCGCTTTGAAGATCTCTTTGGGGATCGGCTATGAGATCGTGAATGACTGAAATTATACAAAGAGATATTACATCAACTCATTTAGTCATTTAAATATTACAAAAGACCCCGTTAAACTTTGGGCAATTGCTTTTGGTTGCCATAACATTTTCCTTTTAGGCTTTAAAGTTACATTTTTTTAATGCGATGAAAAAGAATTTGGAAAAGACAACAGCTTAGAAGTTTAAACAAACTGATGTATTTGACTCTTTATGGAGTTCTTTCCCTTAATTCAAATCCCATTTACAGACATGAAAAAATAAAATCTTGAATTATACTGAAGACATTAATATATTTTCATCCTTATTTGCATACCAGACAGACTGACATTAAAAAAAATAAAAAATAAAAATAAAATAAATAAATATTACTGACAACTAAAGCATTTATTTTTATACAATACTGCAACTGACTAAACCAACACCTTCCAATACACATTATTCCATAAATATTCCGTTTTAACTGTTTGCCAATTCCACATCATCAATTCCTTGATATAAGCAATTAATAGACCAGAATTTGAAAAAAGAAAATAAATGTTTGGCCAGATTTTGGCAAGGCCAGTCCAGCAGCATCCCCCTCATAAGCAAATTCAAATTTACTTTGAGCAAATCCCACATTTCAAAATTCCCCAAAGCATTCAAATAGTCACCCCATCTCCGCCACCCAAAAAAGCCACAAAACAAATCTTTTTTGATAAAGTGGGTGGGTGGATGTTTAGCAACAGAAAACATTTATTACAAACCAAAACCAGCCAGAATGAAAAACAGACATTAGATCTTCCAAACCTTTGACCTCTGCTTGTTACATAACTGTTGCTGCTGCTTTCCTTTCCACTTATGCTGGATTATTCAACAAACAATTTTTAGTCAACATGCAATTCAGAAAACTTACTTTAAAGTCACTTATACAAATTTGGTATGAACCAAAATTTCTATAAGAATCAACCCCTCTAGGAGTGGAAGAAAAAAAAAATTCAAACATTTATTTATATATACACATATATATATATATATATATATATATATATATATATATATATATATATATATATATATGATGAAAAAAATGTTTAAACCTAAACAGGAGGCTATGGGTTATTGCATTTGTCAAGGATTTTTAAATCTAAATCCTTATTTCAGAAATATAAGAAAGCATTTCAGTAATCAGAAATAGAAGTCACAATACTTAAGAACTTTCAGCTCAACAGTCAATACCTCCAGTCTTTGTTGAATGTCCAACTGATAGTTTGGACAGTTTCTACTAAACTGAGATGCCATCCCTTCAGAGATATGCTGTAGTGATGTCACAGGTATAGAGGCTTTACATGTTAAATTGGAAGAGTCAGGCCAACTAAAATATTTTTCTTCTCAATGGCTTTAAATCTAATTCAACAGGAATAAATTAAAGTTATTCCTATCTAAATTCAATAGATTCATAAATTATGCTAGAGACCATCACCATCACCTCTTTCTCTGAAAGATGTAGACATGGTAGAGAAAATCTAGTGTATTGACAGCTCTCTTTATCTTTTGGTTTCAGGATCAATTTTCTCATATAGGAGAAAATTACATTGATGGAGAATAAAAAGAAAAGAATTTTTTTTTTTTATCAAAACAATAATGTCAACGGAATTGAGCTTGTTTTATTGGTTTATACCTGTACAAGAATCTTGTATTTTAGTATCAACATATGTAATAATCCTATACCATTTTTTTTGTTTCGTTTTTATAGTAGAATTTTGGTTCACCTGAGAAAATATATACCATATTGCAAAACAGTTTCATTCCATACTTATCAGGCTTGGATTAGTAGATACAGGAAAAAACAGTCAATAACCACAAAATAGAACAAGTTCATTAATTCTGGAGAACATTTACTCCGGAGTGAAATGGATTTGTTGGCCGTTTTTGTTTAGCAGCATATCAACCCCTATGGATTATTTAATGCTGAAATCTAAATATTTTGAACACTATCTTATGGCTTTAACTACAGATAAATAGGTATTGTTGGTAATTCTGCTATATGTTGTTGGTATTTTTACTATAAAAATGTATTTTTAAACTCATAGTATTTTGGGGGCTTTTTTAGGAGTTCCCTATTTGCCCATAGTTGGGATCCTAACAGGTGTTACCACACGGGTCAGGTTGGACCCTGGGGACAACAGCAATTAAGAAGTGGTTCCACTCCCCCTCAAAACCCCCAATCTTCCAATCAGAGGCCTTGCTGCTGGCTGTACAATGTGGGGTGGAGTTAATTAATCTATCTTTTGATATTTTACATTGAAAATCTTAGTTGCCTTAGTTCGAGTTGGATGGGGTAGAATTAACTGGTCATTAACTTTCAGAATTTAACAAGGTAAAATATTTACCTGCCTAGAGGAATGTTCATTTGTTGCATCATTATATCCTCATGTGAATCACTTCAACTGCTGAGGCATAAAACTTATTTGAATCTGATAAGCTTCATAGTGTATCTTCACCTTTGCCAGAAATCTTAGCATGTCATGAACTGTAACAGCAGCAGATTCAGAAGAGAAATTTGTTTGACAAGAGACTAACAGTAAATAGTCTATATGTATAATAATGAATCATTTCAGCTTAAATCTATTTGACAATGTTGTTGAAAGATTTAGATGTAGGAAAAAATATACTGAACTGTTTTTAGAAATGTAAGCCAAGGACACTTGCAGCACTCCCATACCTTTGAACTGTGCAGACAGAAAAGCACCCTACCTGTTAAAGCATTTTAATTTATTTTTTTATAAATCAAATAAGGAACCATTTTCCATCAAATTCTCTTTATCTGACAATTGAGTTTTAATTGCAGAGTTTGAGAGTTTTTTTAAAATTGCCTTTAATCAAACACAGCATTAACTGATGATTTGCTAACAGAAATCAAACCATGAACAATCAAATTCTATGTTATTGAAATTGAATTGAACCAAATTTGGCCTTTTATCTTTCTTGCAAAAGATCAAAATTAAATTTTAATACTATTTTCAAAATAGAACAATTTTTTTTTAAATTTTCATATCTAATGAATACATTAGAATATTGCTATTTCTACTTCCAAATACATTTTTCAGGATTCACAAAAGGATTTCAGAAGCATTGATTTCCTTTATTAATCTTTGGAGAAATATCATCATTTGCAAATAAGTCCTTTTCCAGTAAAATTTAAATCATAGCTGAAACTTCATAATTTTTTCCTTGCAGCTATCTCATATATACAAGATAGCACCAAAAACTTCTAGGCCAAATCAGACACCTATGCCTGCAACTATCACCTCACTAGCCTACAAGAGATATTCTACCTTGATAATCTGTATTCTGAATGTATACATTGTATTTTAACACATCTCTTTTCACCTCACCAGCAATACATTGTTTTTCATGCAACTATACACAATATAGAATAGAATTCAAAGTAATATTTTCATTACTTTTCTTTTTGAAAATGGAAAGCAGTAGAGAAGATCAATAAACAACTTGGTTGCAGATAGACGTCCAACATTAATGGCTTCACTAAGATACTTTGACAATTCCTGGATGTAGCACAGTATAAAGAGAGGAGAAAAAAAAAAATTTTTGGACAAATTAATATATCTAAAAATATTTTAGCCTGCCAAGACTGAGCAATGTTACAATATCTTTATACAATAGGTTTCATTAGGTTGAATTTTCAGCCATTACAAGTTTTATATACAGTGCATGTAGGATGAAGAAGAAAAAAAAAAAAAAACTTACCTCCCTCGTGACCTGTACTTTTCATTCTTTGATCTTCTTCCATGGGACCGTGATCGGGATCTTGAATAAGAGCGGGAAGGAGATCTAGACAACAACAATGATAAACATGATAGCAAATAGCTAAATTTATATCATAATTCCTTATTGAACAAAAACAACAAACAACCCATTCTAAAATGCAGAAACAAAATTATTCAAACTCATTACTTAAAGGAAAAGTCAAATATATTTTTTTTAACATTTGTACACTTTTCCCTTGAATACCTTCAAGTGTAAATAAAACTTAAGTCGGGAAGTTTTCATTTACATCTTACAAATTGTGACGAAGATAATTCACTAATAGCGATTTTAACTCCTACTCCAAAGGAAAGCTCAGAACATATTCATATGCTTGCCACAAATGAACAAATATTTGCCTAAGTTTTTTTTTTTTTTTAATTATGGTAAATATAGAAAAATCCCTAAGTAATTAGATACTTTTTTTTTCCTCTCCCTCCAACTGACAGAAGTTGCTCGTTCTTATACTACCTGAGCAAATATTGATTAAAAATGAAAATGGAAGAGAAATGCACATTTTGCACATGAATTAATAAAATGGCAAATGATACAATGGGGAAATCCAAGGACATAACGGGGGGGGGGATAGTTTGCAAAGTCGATTTCATTTTCTGTAGTAGAGTGGGGGTGGGTCATTAAGCAAAACCAATTGTGAGCAAAATGATTCAGTAGCCACACATCGAAAATTATATTGCTACCCACAAGGAATAGAAAATTGTATTGATTCAACAATTAAACCTTGGCCTAAACCAAAAAGAAAATCAAAAGCTGCTGAAAAGCTACAACCAACAGGGGGTGGGGTGAGGTGTGGTCTCTTTGAACACAGTTCAGTTTATGTATCATCTTTTAGAGAAAGGAGAAATACCTTTCAGTTGAATCTGTTTGACAAATAGTGTGCATGTTTTCTTGCCTCCATGTATGGATCTTCATAGAAGATTTCAAATTTAGCACAAATATAACACCTCCATTTCATAGGAAAAGCAATTTTATACAATTCAAGATTTTCCAGAAAAAGAAGCCATAAATAAAAAAAATTCTAAATTTTCAAATTAAGTTGCACAAAAACAAACCTTTTTGTAACAACAGCTTTAGGAAAAAGAAATGCAAAAGGAAACCTTTGATTCAAGAGTTACAATTACAAAAAATTCTAATTTCCTCATTGGTAGACTTTTCAGAAATAAAGTTAAATTTTACTTATATATAAAGTTGCAAAATAGATGGAGGTGTCCTAGAAAGAACTGCTGTAAGTAGATTAAAAAGAAATATTTAAATCCTAGAATTCATTGGCTACACCTTCAGCAAACAAGGAGAAATCAATATACAAAGACACCAATACTCCTAAAAATGTCATATGACCAAAAATAATCCTATCTACCATGTGGCGTTTTTTGTTTTTTTTTTTTTAAACATTAAACCCTTCACTGGAGGTCAACAACGAACCAACCAACCCACCCACTCCAGTGAGGAAAGGATTTTCCTTTCTCTAATAATCAGGTATATTTGAAGGTGATTGGCTTAAAAAAAAAAAAAAAAAAAGAAGAAAAAAAGTTCCATTTGTCAAAAGTAAATTCAGCAGCACTTCTGGTCACATTGATACATGTATAGCAAAGAATGCTGTCCTGCTGCTGCTTCATATCAGTGATACAATCTTTATGCCCAACATTTGTCCAAAAAAAAAAAAAAAAAAAAAAAAAAAAAAATGTAGGTTAACATTTCCAGACAATGTTTTTTTAGAAGCTGCAGCAAACCAAATATTTCAAATCAATGTCATTTTTAGGGTTTTGCTCAAAAAAACCAAATTAACAATCCAAACATTCCAATTTGAACATCAGAAACTGAGCAAAAAAAAAAAAAAAAAAAAAAATCTATAGTTTTTGAACCGATACAGAAAAAGAAAAAAAAAAATTAATATTGACTGTGTTTTCAGATTATGCCCTTCAGCAATAAAAATGTCTACATTTCAATGGTTTTTCCAGTGAAGTCTCAATTTTTTTTTAGTGTTTTGTGTGTTTTTTTTGTTTTTGTTTTTTTGTTTTTTTTAAACTAAAGTGCCAACTTGTGTGGCAAGATAGTGTGAGAGATGGTTGCTATAGTAAATCTACCATATACATACATACCTGATCTTCAAGCTGCTGTTTTTTTTTCAATTTTTGAAACAAAACCCATGCACTACCAAATCCTCTTTGTCCATCTTGTATCTGCAGGAGGACTTTCTCCACCACAACCCAACTAACCAATCATGGGTTCATCTCACAATTTATTGACCAATCTTATATGACCAACCATCACCAAACACCATTCATAACCATACCATATACCAATTCCCTGATGAAAATAGGGAAAACTGTCAGTTTGCCATCAGCTGCAGTTAATTACATCTACAGTAACAAATCTATTGATAATAATCATAAGAGTTTACAAGTCTTCAACAATGCAATATGTGCAAAATACAACATTGCTTAAAAAGAAAGAAAAAAAAAAAAAAGTTAAAAAGAAAAGTCAGTAGCTAATAAGCTGCCACTAGATAAAAACCTAGAGTTCAATTCATAATTCATGGCATTCTCCAGTTCAGCTCCAGTATTGAAATCTCTACACCACTAAATAGACACAGAACCAATACAGAAGTTAAAATCCCAAGTCATATCACACACACAAAAACAAAATAAAAAAAATAAAGCTTTGCAAATTTGCATTTAAATCTTACAGAAACTAAGGCAATAGTGCCCAACAGCCAACCAACCAACCATTTAAAAAGAAAAAAAAAAAAAAAAAAAAATGTTGCAAATGTAAATTCACATAAAACTTAAAAAAAAAAATTTTAATTTTTTTTTTTTATGTTAGATTAAAAATGTAAATAAAACTAGTAAACAAATTTGTAACTCTTATTAGAGTAACAAAGAAAATATTTGGAAGCAGAGAGGGGGGAGTAAAAAAAAAAAAGCTAATGATAAACTTTTCAAGCCTTGTTCAAACCAACTACCTGTTGAACTATATGAAACAAAAAATGTTTACCACAAAACAATTGCATTAATAAAAACTTCCCTAATGTCAGAGATTGTCAAAAAAAATAAAGAGAGATGTCAATAAAACAATTCCCAGATTAAATTTCAAACCCATAAACCTTTTATGGATCCGAGCACAAAAGGACAAATCTTTCTTTTATAAAAAGATATTTAAGTCAACAGAGGATTAAATGACAAACTATAAAGAAGTATGCACAAATTTAGTGGCAGCTTGTAAGAAATAAAAAAGAACCAGCTAGTTTTCAAGTTGGGCTAAAAGTGAAGGGGAAAAAAAAAAAAAAAAAAAAAAAATCATTGAAGAGTGAAAGAAATTTCAAGTTAATTTTAGAATTTAATTTTAAAAAATTAAACTCTAATTTCAACAATTGACAGAGCAGGAAAAAAAAAAAAAGAGTTTTGCCCAACAACTTATTTGAATCAATTGAAACAAAGAAGTTACCAATGCTGTAAATGAAAAAGCAGTTTTATTTGGGGGGAAAAAAATTGCAATGCATGTGTAACAGCGAGACCTTGGGAAGAAGAAAAAATGTTTATCCATTTACCACCCCTTCATCTGCCTCGATATTCCAGTTTTTTTCTTTTTACAGAAGAACCTCTCACCACTGCCTCCCAGAAGAGCAAACAATTTGTACATTTGTCAATAAAGGTAATGAAATCTTTATGGTAAAAATAGGAACTCTACTCAACTTTTCTCCCTAAAATGAGAGTGTCTTTATTAATGACAAACAAAAAAGTCAGAAAGACAAGCAAAATTTGGTTCAATATCAGCCCAAAGCCTTTTTAGGGATTTACCTTTGAAAAGAATAATCTCTAGCAGTTTGTTAATAGGTTCAAAACAATATTCAAAATTATTTTGTTCTCATTATTAGTTATCTTGCAAGCAATTTCAAAATCTGCTTTTCTCAACAATAAAATATCAATATTCAAATTAAAAACAAGATCTTTTACTTGAAATTCTTTTTAAATTGCATAAAACTGCCACGTTTGTAAAACCACCCATTTTTTTTGAGAGAGAGAGAGAGAGAGAGAGAGAGAAAGAAAAGAAATCGACCCCCTAAATAAAATATCAATGAGAATTACCTGCTCATATATCGCCGCCTTGCAAACCGCCTAGAATCATCACAGTCACGAAAGAAATGTCCTTTTCGACCACACTGATAACACCGAAGGTTGGGATCAAAAACCCTTCGGCGTCGACCTCTTGTTCGAGGACGGGCCAAGGAAACACGGATTCGGCTACCTCCAAGCGCTCTAAAAACAAAAATTAAAAAGTGGTTACAAAAGAAAAAAAAATCCCCCCACCCCACCAAAAAATCCATTCATTCAACAATAAGAAGCTGCATCATTAACTATTTCTTGCTCTCAGAGGCAATTGGATGTCTAGCAGCATGCATGCATACTAATTTAAAAATATGGTTCCATCGCTACAGAAGAATTACCATGTTTCAAAAATCAAACTAATCCCTAGTACTGTTTCATTTCCAAGTGAATTTTGGAATAACTTATTTTGAAATTTACTGACTTTTATAAGCACATACATTCTTAATATTAGTTTTTGGAAAAATTTTTTTTACATATACAATCACAAAATTTAATGGCAAAAAAAATCTTACTTATTATAAAACGCAGAGTGTGTGTGTGTGTCTGTAGCGTTTATATATTGGATCGAATTTCCTACATTTTTTAGCCGATTTCAACAAAACTTCACAGGACTACATAAAATTACCCTGTGGTGGTTCTAACAGCGCCGAAAATGGGAAAGACAATTGTTTTTTTAACAAAATCAATGTGAAAACACGATTAAGACACATTGTGAGAATGAAAGGGGGACAACTCACTCACGAAAATGTCAACAAAAGAGCATAGCATGATGAAAAAAAAGACGAACTTGACGAAAAAATTATCGTCTAATGTTCATATTATTATTAAAGAGGAAAGATCAAAGTATTTTTGGGGTATTTTTTTACATTTTTTAATCGTTCCTAGCACGTCTGAAATTTTCGTTAAAAATGTTTTTTTGTGGTAAAAAGAAAGGACATATTTTCAATCATTTTTTTCGATTTGATAAAAAAGATTAAAATCTGACTTTGATATTCTTTTAAAAATCAATTATCATTTTTTCAAAACTGATTTTAATAAAAACAGAAATTATACTGTTTATTTAAAATATTTTGAACCAAGCTTAACTTAGCTTCTGCGCCGAAAAAATGTAATTTGAAAATAAAACAAAGCAGGTTTCGCGTCACTTGACGAAAGGCACATTCATGACGTTTAGATAACTTACAGGAGGATAATTCTTTCTACGGATGGAAGGAAGTGAAATTATTTAAGTGAACAATTTATTTACCTCGTTACTTTTAAGGAAAAGTTTCAGCGCTCTAATTTTTTAATTTTAATTTGTTTTTTGTACTTAGCTTTCATTTTTACGTTTACGATGCTTTATGGAAAATATAAAGAAATTAAAAAATAAGACTTAATAGTGAGATTAAATTTCATAAGAAAAAGGTATCTAATTTAGGTACCTTTATGAAATTTTATCAGAAGTGTACATAAAATACTATAATTTTATGTACATTTATTACATTTTACTGTGTTATTTGTATTTCCATTCATTTTATTATTAATTTTGATATTTCATTTATGGAAAAATGTCGTAACTGAGATTAATATAAAAATAAGATAGTTTAGCAGTAGTTAAATTTCATAAGATGATACTGTTACTTGTAGGTACCCTTCTCAGTTGAAATTGAAAACTCAAATTAACTTCTCCATACGTGTTTTCAAGAAAAGTAAAGGGCTTAACAGCGGAGAAAAATGCTGAACTCAAATAATGCAACTAAATTGTATTCTGGTTGGTCTTCCGTACTTGATAATTACTGTCCGACTATAAACACAAAAAATTACATTTCTTAATTACCATGGCTAATCTGATTGGTCCAAATTATACAATTTTCAAAGCGCTAGACAATGACAATCTCACACGGACATTTTGAAAGGTTGATGTTGCTTTTAACTAATGTTAAAATATTTTTAAAAATTCAATTTAAAATTTTTTTAAATTAAAGAAATAAGAAATAATTGTATTAAAAATTCAATTTCCATTGAAAAAATTTTTTGTTTCCAGAAAATATTGTCCATATTCATAAAAAATTAAAACAAATAAAAGCATTTGAAACTAAATAATATATTTGTTTTATTGAGTTTTGTATGTTACAATTCACAGCCGATTTTCAGACGTTGGCCAAAAAAAAAACATGATTTGCATTCTTCAAAGCCTTATGCTTTTAACTATTGTAATCACTAAAACCGATGGTCTCGAATTTCTAGAGTTTTCATAAAATTAGTTATGGGGGTGTTAATAAATATAAAAAAATATTTCTGCCATGACTTTAATAAAAAAAAAAACATTTATAATAATTTCGATCATCTGTGAATAGTTTCTGAAAGTTTCATTAACATCTGACAATTATTTTTATTTTTGCAAGATTTTCCAAATTAATGTGTAAATAAAAAAAAAAAAACGCTAAAATTATCTATGTTATTTACTACCCTTGTTGTGACAAAGAGAAACAAGGTTTTTTTAAATCAAAATTTAGAATATTCTAAAAGATGGAAAAATTTTAAAAATAATTAAAAAAAAAATTTAGTCTATCCTCTTCATAAAAACATAAGCATTTTGACGATAAAATTTTGTTTTCATAAACTTTGGCATCTTTTTCATCAGACTATGCTCTATGTTTTAGCGATTCCGTGGAGTGACTTAGATTAAAAACCCAGGTTGTGTGTGTGTGTGTGTGTGTGTGTGTGTGTGTGTGTGTGTGTTCCTTTATATATGGGATCGGATTTCTTACATTTTTCAGCCGATAAAACAAACATCCACTTTTTTTTGGCAGGTAGTATTTCTTATTGTCTTGCACACTTTTTTCTTTATTTACATTCAGAATGCTTTAAAAATTCCATTTACAAGACAATTGCTTATAATAAAATTCTAATTCTATTTAATTGGGGGACTCATCATAACAATTGAAAACAATGTTTTTGTTTGAGTTTGGCTTTGACCAATTAAAAAAACAAAAAAACAAAAAAAAAAACTAAGACATGCGTGTCCGTCAACCTAAACAATAATCTAACGATCTCTACTGATTGTACGAATCGAAAAATTGGATAATTCTTTATCTTTAGGGAAAGATAATTCCACGTACTTTAGGGTCGTTTTTACAATTCCCTTTGCAATTTGCTACAAGGCAGATCAATAAGGCATTGGTTCTATTTGAAATTAATTCAATATTTAAAAGAAAGTATTAAGAAATAATTTAAAAATGCCAACGTAAGAAATCTGATAGACAAAAAAACAACAATATTTCGAGGATGATAATTATTAAGGAAAGAACACAGTACTTGTAATAAATTAATAAACCCAAATAAAGTTAATATTTTTTGTATTAGAAACAACGAGTGGAAAATATATTCAAATCAGAATTCTAATTATGAATCACAAGCAAAATATGCAATTTTTTTTTACTGTATTCAATAAGTAAAAATCAAATTGTAAAAGATTACAAAGAAAGGCTACCTACATTTTTCAAATTGTAAAAGATTACAAAGAAAGGTTACCTACATTTTTCAACCGATTTCAACAAAACCTCACTTTTTTTTTTGGCAGGTAGTGTTTCTTATTGTCTTGCACACTTTTTTCTTTATTTTTACATTCAGAATGCTTTAAAAATTCCATTTACAAGACAATTGTTTATAATAAAATTCTATTCACCAATCGATAGACTCATAACGATTGTAAACAATGTATTTGTTTGAATTTGGGTTTGACCAATTTGTAAAAAAAAAAAAACTAACTAAGACATGCGTGTCTGTCAACCTTAAACAATAATCTTTGTCAATTTCATTTTTCAGTCTTTATGATGGTCGATACTTGATCTATCTCTTACTATTACATCCCCGGGCTCTACTGCTAGTAACTCATATTTTTATACAATATGTGTCAGTGAAAATGAATACCCTACCATCCCTTATCTAAAGGACTGAATTTCCCCATATCCTTAGAAACTAATATTTAGAATAGATGTGCTTATAAAACTCAGTAAATTTCAAAATAAGTTATTCAAAACTTTGCTTGAAATTGAAACAGTACTAGGGATTTTAATTTAATCCTATAACTAAATTTGAGGTTTTTAGCTATGCTTTTTTAAAAATAAAAATAAATAATAAGAACACCAGATTATAAATCTTACTGTTCTTTCTCTTTACTTAACAGTTGGTCGGTTTGGCAATTTATGATTTGGTATTGCTTTCAGTCCCCACCCCCTCTGATATCGCAATTCGATTCAGTTTTTAATTTAGTATTGCAAAAATAAAAATAATTGTTGGATATTAATGAAACTTTCAGAAACTTCACAGACGATTGAAATTATTATCAATAGGTTTTTTTTGTTTTTTTTTTATTAAAGTCATAGCAGAAACATTTTTTTTATATATTTATTACCCCATCCTAACTAATTTTATGAAAATGCTAGAAATTTGATCACGTCAGGTTTGAGGAATGCAAATAATTTTTTTTTTGTTTTTAATTGGATCCCCCTACCTGAAAATCAGCTCTAAATTGTAGTTTACAAAACTCAATAAAACAAATATTATCTAATTTCAAATGCTTTTATAAATATGGACAATATTTTTTGAAAGCAAAAAAGTTTTTCCAATGAAAAATGAATTTTTAATACAATTATTTGTTATTTCTTTAATTATAATAGATTTTTACATTTAAGTTGTTAAAATATTATAAAATTAGTTAAAAGCCACATTGGGTTTCTTAAGTGTCCTTATGAGATGGATCTTTTTTTAGCGCGTTGTAAGTTGTATCATGTTGACTAATCAGAAGATCCCCAGTAATTAAGATATATGTAATTTTGTGTTTATAGTCGAGCTATAATTATAAAGTACGGAAGACCAACCAGAATACAATTAAGTTGCTTTATTTGAGTTAAGCATTGTTCTCCTCTGTTAAGGCCTTTACTTTTGCGAAACACATGTGGAGAAGTTAATTTGATTTTCAATTTCAACTGAGAAGGGTACCTACAAGTATCAGTACCATCTTATGAAATTTATATGATCTTATTTTTATGTTAATCTCAGTTATGACATAAATATCAAAATTAATAATAAAATGAAAATACAAATAACACAGTAAAATGTAATAAATGTACATAAAATTATAGTATTTTATGTACAGTTCTGATAAAATTTCATAAGAAAGGTACCTATAAATTTGTCAGATACATCTCTTAGGAAATATGAAATTTAATGTCACTCTTAACAGTCTTATTTTAATTTCTTTACAATACATTTTCCATAAAGCATCATAAACGTAAAGATGAAAGCCAAGTACAAAGAAAAAAAAAATTAGACCACTGAAAGTTTTCGTTAAAAATAACAAGGTAAATAATCTGTTCACTTAAATGTAAATAATTTCACTTTTCTCCTTCCGTAGAACAAATTATCCCCATGGAATCCGTCAATGTGTCATTCATCACCTGTCAAGTGACATAAAAAGTTTATGACCAGCTTTGTTTTATTTTCAAATTACATCTTTTTATCACAAGAAGCTAAGTTAAGTTTGGTTCAAAATATTTTAAATAAACATAATTTCTGATTTTCTTAAAATAAGTTTTGAAAAAATGATAATTGATATTTAAAAGAATTTCAAAGTGACATTTTCATTTTTTTTTTTATAAAATGGAAAAAAATGATGCCACCTGTCAATTTTGATGACTAGAAAAAAAGATTTTTAACAAAAATTTTGGACATGCTAGGAACGATTTAAAAATGCAAAAAGATACCCAAAATACTTTGATCTTAATAATAAACATTTAGACAATAAAATTTTGTTTTCATCAAGTTTGGCATCTTTTTCATCATGCTATGCTTTTTTTTTTTTTAGCGATCTCGTGGAGGTACCTAATTTAACACCAATCTTTAATGACTCAAGAGAAACTGAAAATTACAAAGAAAATCAATTGTAGCACTATTATTCACTATTTTTACATCCTTTATATTTTAGAGACAACAGGACATAAAAAATGAATTTTATTTGCAATGCAATGAGCTACATAGAGAATGAACTGAAATGAAAGGCTTTCAGGTAAAAAAAAAAAAAAAAAAAAAAATCAATGTTCTATCTGCTTTTCAGTTTGATTTTCTTTCTAGTCAAGCCAAATTTTGAAAAGAAAATTAAAAACATTTAAAACAAACACAAGACAATAATTGCAAACACAAAGAGGCTAAATAAGGTTACACTTACTTTCCATCCATTTCTTTAATGGCAGCTTCTGCATCTTCTCTATATTTATAAACCACAAAAGCAAAACAGGGTGGACTTTTAGCTACCCACACTTCCAACAGCTTCCCAAATTTTTCAAATGAACTTTCAAGTTCTCTCTTGGAGGGATCTACTCCCAAGTCTGCCACATGCACCCTGACACCCTCATCTGATGGACTTCGACTGCGACTACGGCTATAGCTATAACTATATCGTCTCCTTTCTCGAGACCTGGAGCGTGAACGACCCATATTTACCTGGGGTAAGAAGAAAAAGAAAAGGAAATAATTACACTTAATAAAAATATGAAGCATGAAAATTATATGCAAGATAACTGAAAATATTCACAAAACTAATGGGGAGGGGAGAGAGAAACCCATTTTAATCAGAATGTATACAAATTGATATATTTATTACCTTAATGAATAACCATCAAAATTTTGCTAATTTGGTATATGCAAATATTTTCAGTTTCCCAAAATGTTTCAGATCCTAATATAAAATATATTAAAGAAAAAAAAAAAAAAAGTCTATAACAATGAGGCTTTGTAATTTTATTATTTAAAATATTTTTGTAAATGTATATAAATTTACATATTACCCAACTTGCTGCAGATATGGCACAAGAATATTTTAAATTGTGGTAATATATTTTTGTACTAGTGTTAAAAACAAAAATCATCTGGCAATTTTTTTATTTCATGTAACTTAATATTTCACTAAATAGTTTCTAAGGATGGTAAAAAGAAATTTGGAATTTTTACAAAAATTTTGTTTGCCACGTGTGATCAGTACCAGTTGTTGTAGTGATAATTCCAAAGCCATTGACATTAAGCAGTAATTTCATAAAACATAACCTGAGAGTAGATTTAGCTAATTATATAGATCAGTATAACACAATATGATACTGCCTACAGCTCTCAATATTAAAAAATGTGTCACCTATTTTCTTTTGAGAGAGAGAGAGAGAGAGGGGGGGGGTATACATAAACTGACACACCGTAGAATTAGACAGAGGAAATAACAGTATCTTTTGTTGCTACTGCATATCAAATTCCCTCCCATTATAATTAACATGATTCCTAGCATTACAATGGATTTCAAAACATTTCCCAATTTTTCTTTTTCAGAAGGTAATTTTAAGTTTCGGTATATTTGATTTCCCTCCATGAATTTATACAACAGTGAATATTTGCTAAAAAGTTACAGAACAGACATCAAATTTTGAATTTTTAGAAGAGCTTTTTAATCAGTTCAAGAATTTTTCAGTAAATCTCCCTGTAATTTTAGCTTACTGTACAAGTGTCAACTGGTTTGCTTTTTCTGTGCCTTTTAGGAATCAAACTTTATACTTTTTTTTTCATGAAATTTAGAAAATCTTGTCTAATACATTAGATAAAAGATTATCAATTATTAGCCACAGATTGCGCTAAAAAAATAACACCAATATATTTTTGGTTGGGAACCCATAACAGAAAACATGGAAAGAAAATATCAAGTGCATTTGTTACTTTGAGAAATCACATTTTTCACTTTTAGCTACAAATTTTATATCTAATTAAATGATTAACTTTTAGCTACATCTGGGTGAAAGGTGAAAAATAAAACAGGAGACCAATATTATTCTCCATTAATAGATGGGATTTCATAGGCAATGTGAAACTTTTAACATGGCTGGTAACTAAAATAATTTTTAAAAATAGCTCAATTTTTTCCTTTAAAATTAACAGTTTCATTTTACACAACTTTTGAGCTAAGAATCAGAGAGGAAGGAAAAAAAACTCTAGGAAGAAAGCAACTAGAAGTATGTTAGTGGTTAAAATGGTAACATCTTTCCAACCAATAACTACATATTGAGAAGAAAAAAAAAAGAAAAAAAAAAAGAAAAAAGAGGACAAGATTAAAGCCTAAAACAGAAAATGATAGATTAAATGTATTTTAAAAATACACATTTACATCACTTAAAATATCTAAGTCATTTTAATCAATTAAAATATTATGAGTAAATTCAGTACATTTTTAAAATTAGCATTTTAATTGAAGCCAAAAACAGATTTATAAAATGTTTAAAGATTAACAATTTCTTTCAGTAATAGGAATTCTATTTGCTGCCTGTTAATGACCTATACATTGTATTCAATCCACTTCCTCATAGCAGTAGATTGTCTGATACAGGCACTCAATGAGAATTAATACAACTTTTGCATAAATAATGCCCACATTTTAGGAATATTCAAAGTACTGGGTTCAAAAACGATGGTTTATTGAAGAGGGGAAAGGTCACTTTTTAATGTAAGATTCCCCACACCCCAGGAAACTAGCTTAAGATTTGAGTTCTGTTCCACTTTGCAGTGACTGTTTTAGTGCATACAATAAAAGTGTTTTTGAAAAAACTTTATCAATAAAGAAGAGATTGCAAATATGTGATGACAAATCAAAGCATGATAAAATTGTTTATTTCAAATATTTTATTACTGATGCATAACCTCAAATCCAAAGGAGAGTTCAGAATATGAGGCTAGTTAACGAAATGTTGAGAATTCCATGTTAGAAATATGAAAATTTATTTACAGGAGAAATATGCAAGGTAAATTTTTTCTTTAAAATGTGAATTTTAAAAAAGTTACTTGGAAGCATCTCAATAAAACTTCAACTATCAAATTAATGTATTATAGACATTCTTAAAAATTAAACAAGAGTGAAAATTATATATTTTTAGGCACGAAGAAAAAAGAAAAAGGCTAAATCTCGGTCGAGTGCTTCACAATATATGACAGTGCAGACATTTCAGCATGCTTAAGGAAAAAGAAAGAAAACTATGCCATTATTCATCAGATCAAAATGCTGGCTTAGGAATAAAGATTTTATGAATTATAGTAGTTTGCATATATATATATATATATATATATACGAAGACTTTCACATTTGTGTGCAAGCTATGTATAAATTAGGAAGATTAACAAATTTTTTTATCTTCACTGCAAAGGGGTTATAAAAAGTTATATTTTTGGCATTTGAAAATTGCTGTAAGGAAAAAAAAAAGTTGTGCAAAATTTACAACTAAACTGGCATATTTTAGAGATTTAAAGTTCTCTTCTCCTAATGTGTACTTGAGAGTAAATGCCATTATTTACACCTGTAATTTAAGCTTTACTCAGTAAAACGGTAGAGTAGAGAGGAGAAATATTCTAGGCATGTATAACCTGAATGAATGCATCAATTTACAGTACACCAAAATGCACAATTTTTTTTATTACTATACAAAATCTTTTAAAAAATTAAGCATTTCAAAGTATTTTTTAAATTCACTTTATCAACACAATTTAATAAAAAGACTATCCATATTAGATTTTTTAATGTTTCCAAATCCAAGAATTTGGAAAATTAAACCAAAGATTAATAATTTATTTATCACATTATTAAATATACAAAAAATACATTAAGCCGTACGCTAAAACGGAATTCAATTAACAGACCAAAAAAAAGTCATTGACAGATTTAAACAGGTTTCCTCGATAATTAAATTTTTATAAAAATAATGGAACAAAGGAATTTCGTAGCTGAAAAAAAAATAAATGACAGGATTTGATTTTTATAATTCGAGTCAAATATATTTTTGAACAACACTTTTGTAATGACATTTTGAAATTTAATCTAAATTTTACATTAAATTTCCAGTTAATAATTGGTACATAAATGTACCAATTATTAACTGGAATTATTGAAGGATTTAAGATTATTATCTGTCTGCTCTTATGAAAGAAGTTTTTATCATAAGAATTATAGAAAAAAAAAAGCTAATTTAGCATTGATACTCTCAAAGAACAACGCCCCTTATTTTGTTTTACAAAACCTAAGACTTTTTTTTTTCTTTTAGTTAAAAATTTAAAATTATATCAAAAAAATAAAATTATCAGTAGACATTTTTTATTGCGGATTTTTGTAAGATTATTCTTCAAATTTCATTTTTAAAATTAATTGTCACTCAAAAAGGTAAAAAATAACTGACATTTGAAAATTTAAAATGTTTTAAATGAAAAAGGGTGAAATTATTTGATAAAATTCGGATTTTCTGTATATTTTCACTATAACTTTTAGAGAGAAACTTTTTTTTTATGGTCTGGTGATCTTATGAAGAGATTCTGTACATTTTTTACCAATTCCTCAACACCCCGCCTTTTTTTTTTTTAAATCACTTTTGTTATTTGAGAAATTAAATTTATTTATACAGCATTTTTCTTTAAATTATGTTTTGGATTGCAAAAATATTCAACGCTTTTATTTATGACTTCTTAAATAAATTTAAGCTTTTCCTTCATCAAAAAGTAAATATTTTTAAAAACATGAAAAAGTGAGAGAAAGAAAATTAGATTTTAGATCTGCTTTCCATTTTAATTTATTTAAAAAAAAAATTAAAATAAGGACATTAAAGTTTTTCTTTTTTATTTCAATAAAGAAAAAAGCAGAAAACATTTTCTATGAAGAGAAATGAACAAAAAAAGTGAAACGATGAATAATGTTTAAGCAAATAAATTAATCATAAAATTTAAAAATGAGGGCAAAGGAAAAAAAAAATAGACATTTTTTTTTCTTTTTTCAGGGAACGACCATGTTGGTGTCTAAGAAAAAAAAAGATTTGATTTGAATAGTTGTAATTATAAAGCAAAATTTCATCTAAAATAATTCTTGGTTTGTTTAAAATCATAAACGTTGACAGAGACCAATAGATTTAAAAAAAAAAAAAAAAGATATTTCAAGTTAAAAGACAAGAAATTACACAAATGAAAAATTTTAGCATTTAAAACGAGTGGAGGCTGGGCCCAATTTTTAGTCTTGACTTATTTTCCTTCAGATAAATTCACTGAAAATAAGCTTATAATAAAAACAAAATGCTCCAAAATAGCTACATTGCTATTTTTAAAAGGTCAAATAAATACAAATTGGGGTTTTAAACAAAAAATCAAAATCGCTTAAAGATGAAATTTGATAACAAATTAATACGTACTGGCTAAAAAGTTGTCTTTTCTGCAAATGAAATGTGGTTACGTTGTCGCTGACAATCGTTAATTTCCGGAATCTTTCGGACTAAATCGTAACGTGCATAACATAATATTTTCATTAAAACATAGGAACATGTTCATTTTTATTTTCATTTTGAAATTTAATTTCACTTTTTATGAAAGAAATTTAGTCAATTTCTATTCACAATTTCAAAAAATAGATTTGATTTAAGAATTCTTATGAGGGTCAGTAAATGTCGAATACAGAAAATCGTCGGCGAAACGAAATCGAAAAGAAACTATTTTCTTGTGTCTAAAACATTTACACTTAAGTTAATCACGATTTTAATTTTTTTTTCTTGTATTTTATAAAAATAACTTTACAAAGAAAATGTCCAATTATTTGACAAATGATTTGATTTCGTTGTTAAAAGTGTCTGCAATTTAAGGTTTCATTTTAACTAGAAACGCCAAGTGCATTCTGGGTAAACGCTTTGTAGCCGTAAACAGTGAATTCAAGTCATTTACTTTTACGTTGACTGGTCACTTGGTTGTTTTAAGCAGAAGTATTTAAAGGTGAGTTTTATGTTTTCTTCATTTTATTTTCATCAAAATTAATCAAGGTGATTCTTTTTTGTAATTATTTATGATTGCAAATAACTTGAAAAAAAAAAAGTTCGGTCTCTCTTATTTGCACACTGAGTCTTTTTTTTTTTTCCCATTCAAGATTAATAAAATGGCCGAACTCTTCTTTTCACAAATTTTTCTACTATTCTCTTCAAAACTTTATTTTGCTGTATTTTTTTTCCCCCCGGCACATTTTAAGTTTCTATTTTAAGTTCGTTATTGATTGAATTTCAAGTCGTCCTGGTTTTAGGTGTTTTTAATGCTTTAAATATTAATCTGGGTCAAAATAGAAAATGTTATTTTTAGCTTAAGTGGGCGATCCTTTTTATTTTATTTTTTGTTTTTTATATTTTAAGTTTAAAAATCCTTTTGTTTTTATTTTGATTGCAAACATTTTTCTAGTTTTAGATTTTTTTTTTTCCTCTTTTTCATCCAAAAATTCTCTCATTGATAATTTTTCAACAACCGCCCCTTCTGAAATTCATGTTCAGTCATGCAAAAAAATAAATAAATACATGTCGACCCCCCCTCCAAAAAAAAAGACACTTTGACTTGTGTATCTTTATATATGTATTTTTTTTCTTGTCTTTTAACTTTTAAATTTACTTTGTTTACTTTAACGTATAAAACCCAAATCTTATTTTAAAATAACTTTTTAAATAAAAATTGCAGCGTATTTCTTTTAGTCAGTGTTTAAAAATAAATCAACGTTTTTGCATTTTCAAATTGTGGAAGAAAAATTACAAGATTGGATTTTCATCCATAATTAATGTAAAAAAAAAAAAGCAAATTTTAAGAAATGTAAAGGCTTTTCTTCCTTTTTAATTAAATTTTTAAAACATTCTTTTCTTTTAATTTACATTGAATTTTGAAAGATGCACGTGGTGCATAAAAATACATTTTTTTTTTCTTAATGTGATAAAACGAAGTTAAAAATGCAAATAATAATCTATTGAAATTATTTTTTTTACAATAATTATTACGTTGAATATTTCAAAACTAACATAGTACCCGTAAAAAATAACGGCTGGATGATCATCTGTGCTTTTGTTCAATGTTGTAGCAACACTGCGAAGAAATTATATACACGTGTTTATGACATAATCTTTTTGTTTTATAAATAACAATTGAACCATATAGAAAATTATTTTCTTTTTCATTAACAATCCACGTAGTTATTTTATTCAAAACAATTATTTGAACCTTTGCTAAAAATTTATCCTCTTCCCCGGTTCTTTATTTTTTCCAGGATTGAAAATGGACTGTAAAATCTATGTTGGGGATCTTCCACGTGATGCTTCTGAAAAAGAACTTGAAAGAGCTTTTTGTTATTATGGTCCCCTAAGAAGTGTGTGGGTGGCGCGAAATCCGGCTGGTTTTGCATTCGTTGAATTCGAAGACCCAAGGGATGCTGAGGATGCAGTCCGTGCTCTTGATGGAACGTAAGTTGACAATATTGTATCTGTATTGATTAAAGAGTAGAAAAAGCAACCAAACTCTTTCAGAATTCCTTTTTAAAAATATGCTCGAAATCATCTTAATGATTTTAATTCCAGTTCGAGAAATGCATTGAACAAATTGACTATTATAATTTTGCACTCCCACGACTTCAAAATGCTTATTTCTGATACATTATTAAAATATGCATTAGGAAATTTGTTTTGAGTACAAATTGAATAGTCAATAATAGCCTGGCAATTTTTATGCCAAAGTGATAAAAATTCAATTCTGAAGCTTTGATTCCACGTAATTATTTAGACCCGAAACTTCTAGTGACATGGGAGCAACAACACTGACGACGCATCTAGATTTGGCATTTAAAGGTGTATTTTAATAATAATGATATCACAATCTTTTGGTTCATGCAATGCTTTGAAATTTTTTTTCTTTTTTCTTTTTTTTTTTACATTTCAATTTTTCTGCAAAGTGATCTTTTTCTAAATAACTTTTTTTTTTTTTTCCTAAAATTATTTCAATATTCATCTATGTAAATTCCAGTGCACTTTCCAAAATCTGACCAAATATCAAATCTTTGGTGTTCCCTTGGTCAAGTGAAGACTGTTTCGGCACCTCCTTCACACATACTATGATTATTTAGAAATAAATTTAATGGCTTAAAAAATATCTGGTAACATTTTATCATTTGTGATTTGTTTTAGCATAATCAACCTTTTAATTTAAAATTTTTCAATGATTTTGCATTCTGAAAAATTTAATCTATACATATAGGAATATCTGTGGCTCGAGAGTTCGGGTTGAGCACTCGACTGGTAAGGTTCGTCCCAAGCCTTGGATGAGAGGAGGTAGAGGCCCACCAAGGAACAGGCGGCCTTTCCACCCCGAAGACAGGTGTTTTGAGTGTGGTGACAGGGGCCATTATGCTTATGACTGTTCTCGTTATAGGCGAACAGGCAGATCCAGGTCTTCAAGGCGTCGATCCAGGTAAGGGTTATGTTATTTCAGTAGATATTTGGAATTTGTGTAAAACATTATCCCCATAAAAAGAAAAATTATCAGCATTTTAATTTAATCATAAGATTGGGCTTATTGTAAAATCTAATTTTATTGGTTTTATGATCAAATTTGGCTACAATCTAAATGGGCTAAATTCTAACAAATGAAATAAATTTACACACAGGCTGAAGTGTAAGCTCCAGTATGAAATGAAAATTTTGCATTTTATTTTCAAGCCAATTCTGGGGCATTCAGAAATTATTACAAATCTAGTTGAAAATCATTTTTTTAAAATGAAAACCGAGTCAATTTTGAAATACAGTACAATGGAAAATTGTCAAGAATTGCAATCAACACTTTCAGTTTGTAATGTGATTGTACCTGTAATTTTATATCATTTAAGGTGGGGGTTATTACTTTTGGTAAGTTGTAAGGATTTAGTTAAATATTTCACTGTCTCAAGAAAACCTGATGTTCAAAATAAGCCCTGATTTTTTTTTTTAAAAAAAAAAACAGTAATTGGCTGAACAGAATTGAAAATCATATTTTCCAGATGGCATGAATTGTAATAAAACTTTGAGATTTCTATCTCTTATTTACTCCTGTTCATAAATTTTCTAAATGAACATTTGTGCTAATGCAAATAATAGGAACTTGAATGATTTTTAAATTTCAAAAGGTGTTTAGTGGATAAGTAGTACGTAATTGCTTTTGAGATGTTGCATTTTCTAGCTTGTTTATCAACATATAAATAATGAATGTTGTTGATTTTTTTTTTTTTTTTTTTTCCCGAAACAAAAATAGCTAAGCAGAAATACTTCTAAGGAGTTTGAATTCATTTACTAATAAACAAGTTGTTTGCAAAACTTGAGTTTTGCAATTCTATTGATGTAAGGATGATTTTTAGATGAAATGACATATTAAAGGCTTTCTCCCTGCCCTTCATTTTTATTACTCAGGTTTTGTTGAATTAAAAACTTATCCTCCCTTTAAAAAAAAAAAAAAAAAAAATTAATTTTTTGTATTCAAGCTCTGCAGGTTTCTCTTAATTAAAGACAGTTTTATTTTAACTAGATTGTCTTTCTTTAACCTTTTGACAGCTTTTCTGTGCCAGTGTGAAGTAGAAATCAGGAATGACAAGGTTCAACAGCAGATGTTGATTTACTTGATGCTTTGTTTAATGTTGATATTTTTTTTTTTATGACTTACGAAAACTCTTAATTTCAGACATTGCACATTTAACAACACAAAACAAAACAAAATTACCCTCCCCTTCAAAAAAAAAATTTGCCTCCTCAATTTGCCTTCAAGTTGCTGGTGTCTAACATTTCTGCCCTCTGCCCTTTTTATTTATTTTCTCTCTCCCCCTCCAAAAAAAATGGCTGGCATTATTGAAAGTAAATTATTTTGACTGGTTAGTCTTTGTTGCTTGTTTCTGACAACTATTAAAGGAGAATATGGAACTTCCATTTTAATTGTGGTGTGTATATTTCTCTCTCTTTCTCTTTTATTTTTTTTTTCTTTTAACATGTCTTAGCTTGGGCCTTTCATCAAAAATCATTCTTGGTTCTTGGGCATTTCTCAATCTTGGCAATTCTTTCTCATTTCCTTTTTTTCTTTTTTCTTTTTTTTTTTTTTTTTCTTTTTTCCTCCTCCTTCTGTTTAAGCAGAAAGATGGGTTATTGTGTTCATGTAATTTCCTTCTGGAAAACTTTTGGTCTTTCACTTCATTTGCCCTACATTTTGATGTGGTGCTGCAATGCTTTAGAGTTGTTGCTGAAGCCATTTAACTATCATTGATATTCTTGCCGGTGTTTTCCACTTGATTTACTCAACTTAATTCAGATTTTTCACTTTGCTCTGGAATCATTACTCCATCAATCATACTTGCTAAAGTTTCAGCTGTAAAACTCTTATTCTTTTCTCTCCTTCCTGTCCTCTTTTTTTATTTAAAAAATAAAATACATCTCTTATTATTAAAGTTATTTTCCTATTGTGTTCATGAGTCAATATGGATTTTCTAAGTTTTCTCTTCCCAGATCAAAGCAAATCAGAAACTAGTTCGATTCTTTTTGTTAGCCTTTTTTAAGCTTGAAATTGTCAGTTTATACACATCTCTTCCCTTTTTGTTTGTAGCCTTCTTGAAATTTACTAAATCTCCTGTCCGTGCATTGCAGAACTTTCCTGCTACATAAAGATGTGGGGAAATCCGCTTCATTGCACCACGACTTAAGATTTCATCACCCATCCTTGAACAATCAGCTTCCACCTTTCTGTTTGATCATCGGGGTTGATGATTCAACAACTACACTTCGTGAGGTTTGTCAGCCTGGGGCCGCATAGTTTCATCTTCACACAAACAAAATTCTGCAATGCAATGTCGCCCAACAGACAACCCAGCCTCTTAGGCACCTTGAATTGACGGCTTGACCACCCGGCTCTCTACTTTTTCAACTTGAAATGACTACTACTGATACTACTACTACTACTACTACTACTACTTGTTAGAGCAACTTGACATGACAACCCAGCTTCGTAGGCATCTTGAAATGGCCACCCTGCTATTGTAGGCATCTCGAAATCAGAATCCTTCACCTGATTGGAGATCTATTCATCCCTCAATTGATTTTTTGCATCACTTGAGATCAACCCTGTTACACATCTTATCGTGAAAATTTTCATTGACCACCGAGTGCGTAAGTTACTATACTTTGGCACAAGCTTATCTTGCACTGAACAGTCTCTTATGTGCCAAACATTCTATGATCCGTGTTTAATAAGACTGGAACTTTTAAAATTCATTTGTTTTTGTTTCTTTGAATTTTTTTTTCCCCCCTCTTTCTCAATCCCCTGCCACAATTCTTATTTTATTTTAAATTTTAATAAGCCCTCTTCTTCCCCTTTCCCAACAGTTTCAGTTAAATTTTCCCCAGATTTTGGACGTAAATTGGTAAATGACAGAATATCCTTCAGCTTATTTCTTTTTTTTTTTTTTTTTTTCTTCACCCTATTCCCCACCCATTAAGTATCCTATTTATAAATCCTTTTTCCTTTATTTTTATTCCCCTTTTTTGTACATGAAAAATTCAAGCTAAATTTGTGGTAGTGTTCAGTGTAATAAGATGTTTATCTTTTTTTAAGTATTGAAAGTCCTGCATATTTTCTTAGTATATCCATCAGAGTAATACTTGGCAAGTCTGTCTTTAAGGTCTTGACTCTTACTTTGTGTTTATTTTGCAATGCTGCAGATCCAGGTCCAGATCCCGATCCGGAAGAAGTTACTCTCGGAGCTGGAGCAGAAGTAGAAGCCGTAGTCGGTCCCCTAGAAGAGTCAGTAGGAGTCGCAGCAGGTAAGTTATTAGTTTGTTGGCTTTGTCCCTTTTCAACTGATTTCTCTCTCTCTCTCTCTCTCTCTCTCTCATCTCTCTCATCTCTCTTGTGCTCTTATATTGCTCTCTCATATTGAATTATTTCATCTCTTTTTAGGAACTGAGTGACCTGCCACTATTCAAGCCACAAGCCATGCAGGTAATTGCTTCTTGCTTAAAATTTTTGTTTCCTTACCTTTTGTTCAAAAAAAAATTTTATCAAGAGAGTGCTTAATTGAACTTATTTCCTATGAAACCAAGAAAAAAATGAGCTTTTATAGGGACTCATTTGAAAGGGTTTTGCTTTTTGGGTTCTGAATATTTTCGATTGGAACATTAAATAGGTTGTTGCAGTGGTTAAGTAATTACTTTTGAAGGGAAAAAAAAAATTTTTTTTAAATCTTTGTAAATAAACAACTTTATATGTTTAGGGTAAAAAATTGAATGCTTTGCTTTTATTTTTCAGTTCAAAGATTTAATGGCTGGAAGGATTTCGCCGAGGATACTTTAGTGGCTGGCTTAATGGCAACAACCTTTTATTTTGAAATCGGTTGATCATAAATCCATCATTTCTTATCAGAAACCAACTTTTTCTCATATGCTGATATCATCTAACTTCTATTATTTGATATTTCAATACTAAATCTTTCATGAGATTAGAATCACCTTCGGACAAACCAAATTCATTTTAGACATTTGTTCCACTTGTGCCGATTTGATACTACCCCAACCACCACCACCTGCTCTCACTCTCTCTATTTAAAAAATAATTTTTTTTCCTCATCAAAAACTATTTTTCTCGTAAATCTCTTTAGGCTTTTTCATTTCCAGAATCTCTATAAAGTCATAGTAATTTTCTGGTGTAACTGATTTCAAAAAGTAATTCCCTTTGCAATTCTCCAAACTTGACTTTGGGCAAAAGCTGTGCTCAGTAATAGTTTGACATTCCAAAAATCTTCCTTTGAGCCAAGAAAAAAAAAAAAAAAAAGAAAAAAAAATTGGTTGACTGGATCAAAACTGGAAATTTCTTTTCCATTCTTTCTCAGATATTCTTCAGTTGAGTCCCTTTCCTCATCCATGCAACAAATTCCCCCTTTTCTTTCTTTTTTAAAAAACAAAATCCAAACTTTTAGTTCCCAATCAATCTTGGAACATTTGTCAAAGCCATAGTTTGTGCTGCCATCTATCAGAATATTTTTAATACTTGCATTTTGAAATTTGACTTCATTGTCACAGAATAAACTTGATTTATCAAAATAAGTTGTTGTTTGTGTTTGTTGGGGGGGGGACTTTCCTGTTTGAACATCCAGTGTAGTAACCAGAATTTTAAGCTCTTATCTTCACATTCCTGGATATTAGATCGGCAACAGGAGACTCTTATCATCCCCTGCTACTTAAAAGTGGTCGAATCCTGGATATAAGCTCTGCCACTTTATCTTTTGGCAATTTTAATATCAGGTGCCTGGTGAAGCCTTGTAACTTTGAACAAGGAATTACTGTTCCCTTTTGGTTATCTTTCTTTGTTCTTCTAATGAAAATAAGTTGCCTTTTGGTAAATCTGGTTGCAAGCACTGATGTTCTGCAACTGTGACTAAGAATCTGCCATTTAAGCAAATGGTAAGGGGGGATTTAAACTAAAGGGTTTGTACAAGTCTCAACGTCTTGGAATTTTCTAAATTGGGCTGCACACACATCATTTTTCTCAATTCATGAGTCAAAATGACATCCTAGAAATCTGGCTTTTTTTTTTTTTTTTTTTTTGTCATCACTAATTGGCAATTATTTCAAACAGTGGTTTGTTTCCTTGATTAGAACAAGATTATCACCTCATAATAGTTACTTCTATATTTTCTCACGATGAGAAAGAATATGACGGTATGCATTCTAGCTGCTATCCTCACTCAAAGATAAATTGATTCACACACATTGAATTTGTAGTTGGGAGGAAAATGAGTTATTTTACAATAATAGAATACATTTTAGTAGAGTCTTGATTTATCAGTGTTTTTAAAATTTGAACAATTGAAGAAATGTCAATTTCAAAAGTAAAAAGTCTTTTTGATTTCTAGTCAACAGGGTAAGTTCATGAAAATAGACATTTTTGTGTCCGTGTGTAAACTGTTTAAATTGTTGTCATAAGTAATGAGTTTGAGAATCAAATCTGACACAAAATGTAGACGGGGAAACATGATAGAATAGAAAATGTCTTAGGTTAGAAACTGCGTCTTTGAAAAAGAATGTCATTTTTAAAATTTGCAGGCTGATAAGGATTTGTGATCTAGCTTTGTTATAAGGGTTAAAAAAAAATGAAATTAAAAGTTCAATCTGGCAACCCTGTCCCTTTACTTTTGTATTTCTGCCATAGATGGTTAGAAAATGTAAACATGAACTCGACATTTGGTCAAATTTCGCACCAAGTCCTCTGGTGCTGCTAAACATGAAACATGAATGACATTTTATTTCAGTAAAACTGCAGATTCTTGTGTATGTTTTGAAAGACAGTGAACCATTTTTGATAAAATAGAATGATGATAAACTGTTGCTTCCTTTCCTTACAGATGATCTTTTTAGCATGTTCATGAAACTGTTAAGATTTGTGAAGGAAAAGCACACTAAAAATATAATTATATTTTTAAAACAATGAAGTTGTAAGAATTTTGTCAAAGCCAAAGATGCTGTAAAGATCAAGTGTGGATCTCTGGCAGATATGTTCACCACCATTGAGAAACTTTTGGCAAAGTCTTCCTCTTAGATACCCCCACTTACATGACTGAACCCTGGAGCCATTTGTGAAAAATAAATTTGCCATGGAAAACAGTCTAAAAACATGCTGTTCCTACATGAACAGAAAACAAGTTAGCAAGTCTGATTATGATGACATCATCAGTCAGTTCAAAGAGAAGGCTACTAGAAATATTGCTTTCAAGAATTTCAGCAAGCATGAAGACTGTATGAGCATTTTGTTCTATTCTTCTTTGTCTAGCAACAGAAGAATATAAAAAAAACTGTAAAGTTGTTCGCAGATTGCTGGTACTCATGAACAGGCCTCAATGGAGAGAAGTTTCTCGGTCAATAAGGAAATTTCCACTGATAATATGAAACATCAAATTTTGGTTGCACAGTGCATTATCACAGACTATTTGGTCACAGTTGGAGATGCTGGGAATGTTCCCATGACTAAGGCTCTTCTTTGCTGTGATTCCAATGCTAGAACAGCAACCAACCAAGGAAAAGAAGCAGCTGGACAAAAACGGACTTCCATGCTTATGGAAATCAAAGAACTGAAGACCAAAAACACAAGCTTGAAAGTTGCATACAAGATTTGCTCAAGTCAGCTGACAGCTATGCAAAGAAAGCTGAGCAGGCTCCATCCAAACTTGACACTTATTGCAAACTTCAATGCCATGTGAAGATCTGCAAAGGACAAATCCCTAGAAATATCCAAATTAGAAGAGGAGCTGTATGCTAAACTGGATGAACTGAAAAAAATTACATTGTATTCTGTGCCATGTGCAACAAAAGCCATGAGTAGTAGGGGTAGCTAAAATGTGTAGTTATTTTGGGAACATTTCTATTTGTAGTTCTGTTTATTAAAACCATTATACTTCACTGGAAATGTGCAGCAGTCGAGAGTTTTTTTGACATTCATAAACCATGAGTCATCAAGATAGCTGTAATATGTAGCAGTAAGAATTAAAATATGTCATTCAAAACTTTCAAGTGTAGTAGAACTCCAAACTGTGTAGAATGCTACACAAAATGTGTAACATAACCAGGTCTGCATTCAGCTGTGTTTTAGCCTTCCACACTGATTTCTTCACGGCTTTCAACTGATCCATGTGACATGAATTATTGGAACCAGCTGTACCTTTTCTGCAAACATTTGAAATTGAACATTCACTTTGTTTGTGTGTGCACACACGCATGGCAGTTTCAGTCTTTAAAAATTCTTAACATAGTTTTGGATTTTTTTTTTTTTACACAGATCTGTGGGAACCCTGAGACTACCAACATTGTAATTCATGTAAAATCTAATATTGCACTACAAATGTGAATAATTTTGATCAATGCTTTTAAGCTACTGTGGTGTTCTTGTAACTTTGTGCTGTCTGACATTGTGTCAAATATGTTAACTTGCTGTTCTCAAAGTGCGTAGGAAATTAAAATTATTAAATAATTGAAATGGGCAGATTTTTTACAAATGATTTTTTTTGTTTTTGAATGGGTTAAAAATCATGGATTTTTGGTGACTGCACTACACACAGGTAAATTTTAGATGAAAACAATGTTCATCACTATACGTTAACCAATGACCAACAACGCTGCTCTGGCAGCCTGCATTTAAAATAAAAAATGTTGACCCTAGCCAGGATTGAGTTAATGCGAATGATCCTTTCCCTAGCTGCATAGTATGTGCTTCATCATGACTGCATACAGTTTGGGATTCAGAGCTTTCCTTCTCTCCTAGACCGGTTGCCACCCAAGGCTATAGCACCCAGTCTGTCTTGCTATTTACTCATAACTGGGGGGTTGGGGAGAAGAGGAGGATTCATACCTTTCACAAGGGTATTATCACATAAGTGAATGTAATGAATTTGGCTCCCCAATTTCTCAATCCTAGCCCCAATTATTGTACCTTGCCTCTCTAGTCAGGGACTTAAACAATCTCGTTTTCTAGCCAAAAATATCTATATATTTTTTTTACTTAGAATGACTTGAATGATCATAACCCAGGGTATGTACCTCAACTTGTGGGACACCCTGCATTATGTACTGGTAATCCCCTCAAAAAAAAAGGTTGTCATAGGAAAGGCAATACCTCAGCAATGTAAACACTTGTGAAACAGATTAATGTAAATTTGAGATGCAAAGGGGGGGGGTGTCTTAATTCTTCATTGTTATAAGGTATTTGTTGATTTTAAATGGCATACATAGTGGAAGAGGTTTTGCTTTTTATGTAGCAACAAAAGGGAAGAAGCTTGGGCTACATAAATCTTATATTTTATAAGTTTTTTTTTTTTTTGCTCACCATTTTGGGGTAGCTTTGTACAAAAAAGAATGAAGAATATTTATTTGCTATAAAATATGTCCAGGATTATGCCCAGTACTGCAATATATGAAAAATCATTATTCACTAAAAATTAAGGGGATGCACTATATATGAGTATATACAATATTTTATGCAAATATACAATAGTGAAAATCACCCACCTGAAATTGGAGGTGAAACATGTCTTGAGGGGGAAAAAGACTCCATTTTGCATATCTGACACAAAAGACATTGTCATGTAAATTACTAGTGGCTTTATTGAAATTCGAATCCAAAATCGAGTGTCTCCTCCTCTTTGCATTTACTAAATTCAGCTGACTGTTTCCTAATCTGTAGTTGAAGTTGTCCAAGAAAAGCACTATATTGCATTTGTAATGCAAGGACAAGTACTTGTAAATTCCACTGTTAATGGGCAGCAACACTCAATGGATACTTAACCTTGCATTCATGAACTCTGAAGAGGATTTGCAGATTGATGACATTTCTGATATGGATTTAAAAAATTTTATAATTGAAACTGAAAAAAGTGCAACAATTAAAATTGGAAAGTCCCTGAAGCAAATCTGCATTTTGTAGTAAACTCTTTCCACATGGAACAATTTAGTATAATTTTCTTGGGTAAAGTTTTTCAGGTGGACTTGGAATTGCATCTAGGCAAGGTTTAGTAGGTGGTGGGGGTAGATTGGACAAAGGTACCCATAGAGGTGAATTTTCAGAATCTGAACTGGTGTCTTTAAATGCTGTTTTGTTCCAAGTATAAAATTTATTATGTGAATCCCAAAATGAAGAAGATACATCAGTCGTGTTGCTTTGATCAAGATACTCCAAAAAATCCAGTGAATCTTGGGTTTGGTAAATCTAAAAATGAAAACAATCACTAAACTTAAACATATGGAAAAAGAAAATTGTGTGTTATATTGTCCACTTAACTTTGGGCTTAAACATTTCATGTATAATATGCACTGATTTATGTCAACTAAAATTAAGAATTTACATTGTTTTAAAAAACAAAATTTACACTTAGTACTTAGAGCAAATGTAACAAGTTTGGTTAAAAAATAAACTTGCACAAGGCAAAACAGTTATAAACACACTATTTTTTTACAGTAATGTAAAACATTCAGAAAATTGCACTGAACAGCAGTAAAGCAGTAACATTTATGACGTCTTGCCTTGCTGCAGACAACAAAGAAGTAGACTAAGTTGAACTTTACATGTAGACAGGGGAGTTAATAGTTCTTGTCTATAACATAGTCATCACTTTTTGACTTCAAAATTTGATGGGTACAAAATTTGATTATTCCTATTTGTAGAAAGATGAAAACTTAAATGTATGGTTTATTCAAAAATTCAATCTGCAATTTACAAAATTAAATGTGTTTAGAAGAATTAGATATTGTCTGTAGCTGTTGAACCTGCCCTAAAAGCTGCTTTTCTTGCTTGGTTTTTAAGATTAAGTGTCAGGAAATATGCTGAATGTATTGAATGTCACCATTCATGTATGCTTCTTTCTTTTCCTGAAAGCAAACTTGGCACAAATCTCAAATCTGGAGTTGTAACAGAGCAGTGGTTCTGATTGAGTCATTTTGCTGCATGGAAATTGTTAACGACTTGAGCTATTGAGAGGATAATTCTGAGCAAAGAAGAAAAGATATTAGGAGAAAAATATGGAAGAGTGGTTAATTAGATTGAAGTCTGATGAAAAAAAAAGTTTGATACAAAAATATAAATTGAAACCCATAAACTACTTATAGGAAGGGGGCCTCGGAAGAGTTTAAACTAAGATTCAGTAGAACTGACAACTATGACCCAACTGTATAATCCCCAAGAAAGTTAACATGACATGACTAATGAGTTTGCCAAATGCTTACAGGGTTTTTGGTAACTTTAGGGTTTGTTTAATAACCAAACAGGAATATTTACGTTGATTTCAATGTAAATTTTGGGAACTTAGAAATTCAGACCAAAATTGAAAAGCACTTTATGGTATGGTCATCTAGGTTATTTAACAAGTAGGGTTTTCATTTGAGAAGCTAATTAATCATATCCATTCTGGCTCCATCTATATACAATGAAATATGTACACACAAAAATCAGTCTATCCAGAGATCATTAGAGCCCATATCATGAAGTCAAACACTCAAGGAGAAAACCCACAGAACCCACCCATTCCCATTATGTATTAGAGAAAATTCGCCATGGAAATCCTTCACTGCTAAGACTTTAGCACTTCTGCATTTCTTAAATAGATGTCCCTCAGTGCCTCAAGGGTAGAAAAGGAATGATTGGGATGAAACAGCCCCATAGATGTTCTACATTTTTTAAATTTCACCTTTAAGTAAATTGTTGATAATGTTTCAACATTATATTTACTTCTGTTGGCATGTTTACATCTTTTTCAGTACAATTGCCTATGTTGAAAAAATAGTACAATCCAAATATCACCCAGATCAACAAAAGCCACTGCCTGTCATTTCTGGCAGGTGCACAACGAACAAAATCTACTAGACTACTCTACATAAATTCTGGGGAAGGAAATGAAAAAGCGAAATTTTATAAAAAAAAAATTAAACTGAAATCCAAATTTCCAAGTTGCTTTCTGTGCAGATTAAGAGCTAATTGTTTTTTTTTTTAAATAATGCACAGTTTGTATATGCAAACATACCTGTTTCTTTTTTATGGTAGATTCCACTGAATCAACACAATCTCCACTAAAACCAGGTACAGATTTACATGTCTCTCTGAATAGGGGCTGAAATGGATAAATAAAAAGTTCAAACTTTCTTTTTTTCCTACATTTAATGTGTACATTTCTTGACAAGGACCAATTTATCTTCTGCTAATAATTTACTTTGACTTTGCTGAGATTTCTTACCAAAGAAATAATGGAGAGAAATTTGAAAACCTAAATTAATTTAGTATATCAAATTTTTACATATTGAACAGAAAGTCGATTGTCTCTATATTGTCTTGAAGAGAAACTTTGGAAAACCAATATGCAAATATTTCTCCACAAAGCATCCTCAGAAATAAATGTTATAAAATAAATTATGGAATAAAAATTTGATTTACTTCAATGACTATAAAACTATGATAAAAGACAAAAATATAAAAATGCCTTCAAAATTTTAAAAAAAAATATTTTTAATTTTGATATCTGGAAATCAACTCTATACAAAAACATTTTTTAGGAAATACTTTTCAAATTTATAAAATGTCTTTTTTGCCAGTCTGTAAAATTTCAGATTAAATTTTCTAAGTAATTATGAGAGATTTTATAATTTTGAAAAACGATTTCTCTGATCGAATGCAACCTTACCTCATTAGCAACAATAATGCAAGAAGAGACATGATGTTTGTTTTGCTCCGTTTGTTGGCAGTGAAAGAATTTTTTACAAGTCATCAATTTCAATTTGTTTGTATTTAGTGGGGCAGAATCACCAGCATGGTCAATTGGTTGGTTTTCACAGGGAGTTGGCACATTAACAGAATCCAGAGCTGAATGTTGACCTCTGGAATGATCCAAATTCTGAACAATGTCCATGCTTTCTGGAGATTTTCCTGTTGATGCACTTTTTTGCTGTGGATTTTCGTCTAATTTAAGAAGAATATCATTTTGTATGAGCAAGCTCTTAGCATCATTAAATCCTGATAAATTCAATTGTTTTTCATCAATTCCTGTTTCTTTCTCACTGTCCGTTTTCAGTGAACCTTTTATAAAAACAAAAATACAAGAGGAAACAATTTTTACTTTTACTCTTTGTTTTCTTGTCTATTTTTGTCTTATAATTTTGGTCATTATTGAATTAATTTAAGCTTTCTGAAACATACGATTGTACTTTTTTTTTCTCAAATACAGTGACACATGTAAATCAGAATTAATGGGGCTTCAATATTGAAAATTTCCCTTCAACAAATAAAGGAATTATATATAGTTTTAATTTTTCCCAAAATTTAAATCTTTATAGAACTGCATCAAGTATTATTGAAAAATTAAAATGTACTGACATTTAAAACTTTATTTTCTGCCCCAAACAAATCCACATTTCAATTTATTTATCAAATAGAC